AGGGAGTCAAGGAATACTATCTACAAATGACAGTTCAAAATATAGAGGTATATTGTTTAATTTTAAAAGGTAAGTAGTTGGTGGAACTAAAAAAGAAAAATGTTACAAAAAATGAGAAATAGTTCAGTGAGCTAAATTTCTCATTTTTTATAGCAAGGAGTTAGTAAAGCTGATAAATTAATAAATGCAGACATAAAAATATTATTTATAGTTGAGATGTGATAAAAACAAAAAAAATAGTCAAAAGTAGTTACTTCTGAGGAACGGAGCACAAGATGGGCAGATAAAATTGTACTTTTCACATTTATCTTTCTGTATTGCTTAAATTACTTTTCCATGCATGTTTTACATTTATAATACAAAGCTGATGTTGGTGTCTTACTGTATCAACACAGATTTAGAGTTCAATGATTTAGAAGACAGTAGAGAAAAGGAATCAAAGATTGGAAGGTGAAGTCTTTTGGAAGAAGGCTAAAGGGCACAGGATTAGCTGATGTGAAAAAAGAAGGGTAAAAAGTAATTTTATAAAATCAGTTAATACATTTGCAATAATGTGGATAAACATCGAGGGCATTATGCTAAGTGAAAAAGTCACACAGAGAAAGACAAATAAGTGTATGGTCTTACTTAAATGTGTAATCTTAAAAAAACGAACTTATGGAAACAAGAGAACAGATTGGTGGTTGTCAGGGGGTTGAGGGGAGAATGAGTGAAGGGGATCAAAAGGCACAAAATTCCAGTTACAAGATCAATGAGATCTAAGGATGGAATGTACAGCAATGGTGACTACAGTGAACATAGTTTTGTACGCTTGAAAGCTGCTAAGAGAGCAATCTTAAAAGTTCTCACTGCAAGAAAAAAAATCGTGAGGTTACTGAACTTGTGGCAGTCACTTTGCTCTACATATCATTATACTGTATACCCTAAACTCACACAATATTATGTATCAATTATATTTGAGTAAGCCGGAAAAAAAAAAATCAAATACATGCTTATACAAAAACATGCTTACCTGTGATAGAAAATGGGCCTTTATCCTGAGAGTAAAACAAGTGAGCTCCAGCTGTAGCAGAAAGGACTTAGGATAGCAATACAGGAAAATATCCTGCTCCAGGAGCAGAGAGTCTTACAAGGAGACACTGGGGAATCCCATTCCCTAGTTATTTTTCAGAGGACAGCAAAAATCTGTCCTTTGATTTCTTGACTAGGTAGAACGCTATCAAGAAGCACGGCTGTGATCTATAAAGATCCTATAGCATTTCATTTATAACATGATTCACATACTTTATTTCAAAAAAAGGAGGTTATAACTTTTGAAGCTAACAGAATCCTCTCTTGAGGACTGCTCTGGAGTATATTAGTTAAAAAGGAAAGGCTTTCCTCTTTTATCATCTGCATGTCTTCTATTATATTTCTTAACATCTAACCCAAACATGAAAGGCACAGTAGATTCAGGTTATGCCTCTAAACATAAAGTCATCACCTTCTGTTTCATTGATTCTTAGGGGGTTGAAAGGCATTTGCCTTCTTGCTACTACTCTTGTTCTTACATTATTTATCTGTTAATCTATTAAAACACGTATTGCTGTAGCATGTAAGTGCTAACATAGAAGGTTAAAAAGATATAAATTATTTAAATCCAACAACTAATGAAAACAAAATACCAAAAAAAGGGGGAAAAAAAAGACATTGATGACTTAATACAAAGCTACTGGTAGGAGGGGTTCCTGGGTGGCTCAGTCGGTTAAGCATCTGCCTTTGGCTCAGGTCAGGATCTGAGGGTCCTGGGATTGAGCCCTGTGTCAGGCCCCCTGCTTAGCGGGGAGTCCGCTCATCCCTCTGCCTCTGCTCCTCCCCTTGCTTGAGCTCTCTCTCAAAAAAATACTTAAATCTTAAAAAAAAAAAAAAAAAAAAAAAAAAAAAAAAAAAGCTACTGGGAGGGGTCTAATGAGTGAATGCATTTTAAAAAAGGTTTTATTTATTTATTTGACAGAGAGAGATCACAAGTAGGCAGAGAGGCAGGCAGAGAGAGAGAGGGGGAAGCAGGCTCCCTGCTGAGCAGAGAGCCCGAAGTGGAGCTCGATCCCAGGACCCTGGGATCATGACCTTAGCCGAAAGCAGAGGCTTTAACCCACTGAGCCACCCAGGCGCCCCGAGTGAATGCATTTTTGAATCAAAAAAAAAACCATTTAAATACCTACAAAACCATTATGATATATACCTGAGTCAGCAGTCAGTCAACCAGTTCTTGTCAAAAACCCATACTGTAACACACCTTCAGCAGGGGAACATAAAGAGATGAAGCATCTAATTTATAACACAAAACAACAGACAAGATGGGTGATGGTAACCAGTGAGATGTGGAAAAGATGGGGAAGCAGAGGGTCTGGCCTATGAACTGTATACTCAGGGAGCAATAGCTCTGAAAAGATAAATGGTCAGTTGTTCATGGGCCTGGAAGTCCTTCCTGCCGTATAAAAAGGGTTCCAGGCACTTGGAAACAAGTTAGTCATTTTCATTTCCCTGTTTCTGCCATCTAGCTGGGCTTAGCCCTCTTTAGTAAGGCTTTGCGGTACAACAGAAAGAGCCCTCCACTTTCTCTTTTATAAAATGAGAACAATATCCCACATGGTGTTTTATGTTCAGGACAAAGTGAGAGAAAATACAGCAAAGTCATAGAATACAGTTACTCAATAACTGTTAGTTTTCTTATCTGACGGCAGAGATGGCTATAAGATGTGTGCTCTGCTGAGAAGTGGCTGCCCAGCTGGAACTATGGTTTCCAGCCCTACCAGCACCTAGTGTGGTAAATGACTACTTCTCCTCAATCACACGCAAGTGGAAGGGATGGCCACTATACCCGGGCCAAGGCTGTGCAGAAGGACCAGATATAGCTTCTCTCTGGTCTTTCCCCATTTGGCGGCTAGATGCAGATGATGCTGATGAACCCCCAGATGATGGCAGTGCCACAAGAAGGAAGATGCCTGGGTTCCTCAGTCACCTGTGGAGAAGAGCCACCTGACAACCAGGACTGCCCCTACTGCCTGCTACGTGACTGAGAAATAAACTATTGCATTAAGACTCCGGAATGTTGAAGCCACTTTCCATTATAGCAGCAAGTGTTACCTTAACCAATGGAAGCATTAAGTGTGCTCTATGATAATTACGATCATTACGATGGTAAGGGTGTCAGACGTTGCATCAAACAAGCCATCATTAATGCTGTTATGAAATCTTGGCCAAGAAAGTACACGAAAAGATGTTCGTCATTCGTCGTGAGGAAAATGCAGACTGAAACCACCACTTCATTCCCACTAGGATGGCTGTGAACAAGGAGCTAGACAGTAGTAAGTATTGGCGAGAATGGGAAGAAATTAGAACCCTCCTCCATTGCTGGTGGGAATGCAAAATGCTGCAGCTGCTGTGGAGAAGTTTGGCAATTCCCCAAAAACTTAAACACAGAGTTACCATAAGACCCAGCAATTTTACGCCCAGGAATATACTCAAGAGGACTGAAAACATATGTTCATAAAAAGACTCACACAGGAAGGTTCACAGCAGAAATACTCATTTTAGCCAAAACGGGCAAACAATTCCAATGTTCATCTGCTGATGAATGGAGAAACAAAATGTGACATGTATATTTCCATAGGATAGAATATTATCCAGCCATAAAAAGGAATTAAGTGCTGACACCTGCTGCAACATGAATGAAGCTTGACAGAAGTCTATGTCAAATGAAGAAAAGCCAGAAGAAAAGATCACATCTTATATAATTCTGTGTATAGGAAATGTCCAGAATATGCAAATCCACTGAGACAGAAGGGAGATAACTGGGGGTGAGGGGCTGTGGGAACTGGAAGGAAATGTAAAGACTGTTAATGGGTAGGAGGTTTCCCTTTTGGGGGGTGATGAAAATGTTTGAAACATTAGATAGCAGGGATGACTGCCCAACTCTGAATACACTAAAAACTCTAGACCGTACATTTAAAAGGGTGAGTTGTGTGGTACATGAATCATATTTCAATAGTAAAAAAGAGAAATCTTCATGTGCCCAGGTGGCTAGTTGGATAAGCATCTGCCTTCAGCTCAGGTCATGCAGGGTCCTGGGGTTGAGCCCTGCATCAGGCTCCCTGCTCAGTGGGAAGTCTGCTTCTCCCTCTCCCGCGGTCTCTCTGCCACCCTCTGCCCTGCTTGTGCTCCTCTCTCTCTCAAATAAATAAAACTTAAAAAAAAAAAAAAAAAAAAGGAAAGAAAGAAATCTCAGGTATTTTACTTTACCTTGCCTCCCAGAGAATCTGGTTCTACCCAAAAAGGCACTGAGCTCTTTTTAGATATGACTGGGGAAAGGGATGATTCTACGATGCTGGGAATGTGCTAATTTTTATCTGAGCGAGTTATACAGGTATATACACATGTTCAGACTCATTCCAGTCATGATCTCAGGCCAGTCAGAACCCACAGGATCCTTCCTCCTAGCTTCCCCCACAACAATGTAAACGCAAACAGAGGCCCAAAGCCATATGCATTAAATGACTAGAGACCTACAATACCAAACTTTCTTTCTGGGATGAGATAAATATTTAAAAGTAACGCTGGGAATGATATGAAGATAGGGAATGGAGTCCCAGAATAAATACTAAAGTGTGTATTGTACTGGCAAAATTCTGTAAGGAAGAAAAAAGTTCTAAAGGGGTAGTATGTGGTATCAGGGGTGGGAACCCAAGAGAGGATTACATATTGAAATCCTTTTCCCTGCTCAGGTACATGTCATTTTCAAGAGTCAAGTTCAAACCGCCAAATAAGAAAAGCTTGTTTGATCACATAAAAAAATAACTTCTTGTCAAAGTACTTAATAGTCAAAACTGAAGTAAATGATGTTTTCAACCTATAACTAAGAATAATTTGGTGATTCCATGAGTCTTCATGAGAACCTTCTGTACCCATCAGGAAGACGGTCTTTTAAATTGTAATAAATTCTGTGAGAAGACATAACTTACTTGCAGGAGACTTTCGTTCTGTCGGCCACCATGGTCCACTGTTGCTGGTTGGTGGAGACCTCAACATAGTAGCTGTAGCTTCGATCATCACAGTCCCAAAGTAGTAACCTGAACAAAGGAAAATACATAAGAACGCTGTGAATGTTCTAACTGCCTGTTTCCTGTCGGCATAAGGAAATTCATGTCTATTTTACCTCTCCTTCCTGCCTCCTTTGTCCCCTTACCCCCACCCCACTTCCAGGGCTGGAGAAAGGACATGAATCTCCGGCAAAAGTCTGGTGACAGGAGGTAGAGTCAGTCTGCAGTGAGAGCCATGTCTCTTTAGGAACTTATCTCAGGCAGCCTTTGCTCCCTGACTGGCTATGCTCTTCGGGTTGGCTTATCTATGAGAAGATGTCCCCAAATCCTCCTTCCTGATTCATCTCCACTTGGCTGGGCTGACCAAAGGTAACAACATCCTTGAGACTAGCACTCATGGGGGAATCTGTGCTTTCTAACTGATAATAACTAGTACGCCCCAATGACCTCAATTATCATGTTTTAGATTCCCTCTCATTCTTAGTGGAATTTTGTACAGCTGTGGTACAATGATCTGATTTGGAGATACAAGCAAACATATATTCGTTAGTAAAACTTTCTTATTATTTAGAGATTGATTATTTGGGTTCTATTCCTCATATCTCCTTTTTAGCTCAGATAAGAACCTGAGCATTGACTCTGTGATTCCATTTACATGAAGCTTAAAAGAGACAAAATTCATCGCTGGTGACAGGAAATCAGAACAGTGGTTACCTCTGGAAGAGGTAATGCTTGTGAAAGGGAATGAGGGAACCTTCTAGGATGCTGGAAGTGTGCTGATTCTGGCCAAGTGGTAGTTCATTGGTACACACACAGTAAATACCCAGTTAAGTTATACATGAAAGATGTGTGCCCTGTATGTGTGGTTACTCCTCAATTAAAAAAAATAAGAGAAAAGAATCTAAGTATTGTAATACTTAGATTAGACAACAGTCCAGCATTTTGCTTTTGATGGTGCCACGGTGGCAGGAGATGAGACACCATTGTTTTCTGTGATTTTAACCTCAAAAAAAAAAAAAAAGAATTATGATTTCAGCCTCAAAATTCCTTCCCATACAAGATACCTATCTATTGGGGCGCCTGGGTGGCTCAGTGGGTTAAAGCCCTGCATCGGGCTCTCTGCTCAGCAGGAGGCCTGCTTCTCTTCCTCTCTCTCTCTGTCTGCCTCTCTGCCTACTTGTGATCTCTGTCTGTCAAATAAATAAATAAAATCTTAAAAAAAAAAAAAGATACCTATCTATTGTTTTATATTTGGTCATGCATATTTTCTTCCTCCAATGGCCAGAACAGAGAGTGAGCTCCCTGAAGACAGTGCTTATGTCTTACTGATCCTTCTATACCCAGGTACTCAGCATGGTGTCTCACTGAGCCTACGCTCAATGAATATTTATTTGTAACAACAGTGATAATGATGATTATTAATATCATACTGGCCAACATTTCTTTAATGCTTATACTGTGTACCAGGCCCTATGTTAAGTGCTCTATATAATTTATCTTATTAAATGATTCCAAAATCCAAATAAATTAATAAAATCTTTAAAAAAAAAAAGGGACGCCTGGGTGGCTCAGTTGGTTAAGCAGCTGCCTTCAGCTCAGGTCATGATCCCAGTGTCCTGGGACTGAGTCCCACTTCCGGCTCCTTGCTCGGCAGGGAGCCTCCTTCTTCCTCTGCCTCTGCCTGCCACTCTGTCTACCTGTGCTCACTCTCACTCCTCTCTCTCTGACAAATAAATGAATAAAATCTTAAAAATAAATAAATAAATAAATGATTCCAAAATCCCCATAGCAAGCATTAATATTCTCATCAAATTATAGATGGTGAAAGTAAGGCTTATTGCTGTTAAGTAACATGTCTATGCTCAAACAGTTAGTGTTGGCAGATAACAGGGTTCAAACCTGATGTCCTGGCCAAAGCCCATTTTTATCATCCCTCTGTCAAGTGCTTCCTTTACTCCCACTTTATGAAACTGGGTCCCGATTTACAACCTACAACCTATCACTCTACAAAAGTAGTTCATACTATTTGCCCTTGATCTTGCAATGATAATCAATAAAAACTTTTTGCACAAGCTCGGTTTAGTGTTGTCTATAATGCTATTATTGGGGATTAGAAATGACACTGTGTTCCATTTACCTTTTATTTGTTTCCAAGTCTAATTTTGTTTGCTATTAATGACTAAACCTATACTACCTAATATTTTGGAATTCATCTTTTAAGTAAAGCAGAAACAGATTCCACCTTAATTCACCTGAGTATTCCCCTTAATTCGCCTGAGTATTTAATCTCTCCAAGTACTCTGAATGAATCAGACAGGATCCCACCCTATTGTTTTTACGTCTAATAATTCTGCTCTCAGATTGTACCAGCTTGGCTAATAAGAAAGTGAGTCATTTCCCTCATTAGTCATTTCCTCGAATATTATTCTACTTTCTTAGCACTTTAATGCTGTTTAGCCTGTTAATTTATGTTTACGTTGAGTAACCTTTAAAAGGATAATTTTTTAAAAAGATTTTATTTATTTATTTGACAGACAGAGATCACAAGTAGGCAGAGAGGCAGGCAGAGGGAGAGGAGGAAGCAGTCTCCCCACTAAGCAGAGAGCCCGATGCAGGGCTCCATCCCAGGACCCTGGGATCATGACCTGAGCCAAAGGCAGAGGCTTAACCCACTGAGCCACCCAGGTGCCTCTCAAAATATAATTTTTGTTTCTATGTTTGTCTGGCTCTTATAAAAATTATAGAAAGACTGTTGATCTCATTTAAAAAAAAATTCTACTTCAAACATGGATTCTGTTCAAAGTGTATGTTCCATACATGTTCTGGGCTGAAATAGCTTATAATTCTGCCAGAGTAGATTAAAAACAAGAAAAAAAAAACTTCGGATTAATTACTCATTCTCTTTACTTAACAACTCTGATAACAGGCTTTTTGGGAGACAACGTTGAGGCTATCTCCTCAATGGGATTTTAGATTATTTGTGGAGAGCCAGGTTTATCATAATCCCTATCCTTCTGGATAATCATGAATTAGTGTTTCTACTAGTGTATCCAGTGAAAATAATCAGGCCCTTTTGGGATTGAATCTAACCAGATCTCAAAATAGTTCATGGAAAAAGACTGCCCTGAGGAGATGGGATATGAAGAAGATAAAAAGAAAGACCAATTATAAGTATCACAAATGCTCTAGTAGAAATTCCTGGTGTGACAGGATATTAAAAGAATTTTTAAAGTAGTGTATATTTTGTCCCTTAGTAGTTTTTCCTATAAAGTCCTCTAACTTGTTTCAAGACAGATTTTTATTTTTATTTTTTTTATTTTTATTTTTTTTTATTTATTTTTTTTTTTAAG